TGGATAATAATAAAATATTGATTTATTTTAGGAATTTCACATTGTTCCCAAAGAGAATATGATTAACAAAAGGAAAAATTAAGTAAGATGAATATTTTAATAAGCAGCAAATATTTTTCAAATAATATTTTAGGGTTAAATTTTATCCTTTTAAATATGATTTTGGCTAATCTTTGGAATATGGTAACAGGTAGTTTGGCGACATTTTGGTAGGCAATAAAGATTACTACCTAGGACTTTGGGAATAATGTGAGAAGTAGTCAGTTCCGATTACGCATTATTTTGTGCAAGGGAAATGAGAGATCATGGGATATGTCATGTGACATTAATGGACGAATTACAGTTCTTTAATCGGAAAAGGGGGGAAATTTAGAAAAATATCTGCAGTACTATAGTATTTTGTATTAAGCTTCATTGTGTGTTGTGTGAAAGAGTGTTGATTAATTTTTGGATCGCATGGTGCTATCTAAAGTAAATTCTAAATTTTTATTGCATTTATCTGATAATCCAAAAGAATTGGTTGAATGGTTATGAGTGTAGGATTAATTGGCGGATAAGTATGAATGTCCACATGTGGGAATGAAATGAGATTGTGTGAAGGAAGGATATACAGATAAGTTTGAATGGCGGTGCAAGAAATCGATGAAAATGGACATTTTGTAATGGGGTGTAAGGAAGGGTACGTGGTTGCTGAAATCGTTTGAGTATGGGTGAAATTTATGATTTTTATTATTGGGTGAATAGACTGCCAGTTGACTACTGGATTTCGGATTTAGAAATTAGCAGTAGTACGCAGCCGTTGGAACTTTCTGTAGGGAAGTGTGTGTGAATTTTGCGAGAATGATATGGTATGCTGGTGGTATGAATGTTTGTTGAATTGATGAAAGTAAGTTTGGGAACACAAGTATCAGAGAGGTAGGAAAGTGAAGGAAAATGAGTATTTGGTGGGATTGAAAGGGGTAGTAATAAGTGTTTTTTTAAGGTTATGCGAGATAGAAGTAAAGATTGCTTATTAAGTTTTATTAAGCAGTATATTCTACCTGGTACAATAATTATATCTGATTGCTGGAAGTCATATGCATGTTTAAAGGATGAAGGTTTTCAACATCTTGCTGTGAACCATAAGTATCATTTTAAAGATCCTGAAACAGGCGCACATACAAATGCAATAGAGGGCACGTGGAGTGCTATAAAAAGCGCCATTCCAAAGCATTATGATAAAGAGTATTTTGCTTTTCATTTAGCGGAGGAAGTATGGCGGAAAATTCGCAGAAAAAACCATTCAATAATTTTATTGAATCTATAAGAAAATTAAGACACAATAACACGCCGAATAAATACTAATTCAGAAGTCAAACAACAAAAATCAGCGTTATACCTACAAAATTTTCACAGGACTAGTTTCGATGGTTTTACCGAACCATCATCTTCAGCTGCAAAACCGCAAATGAAAATGATCTATAAGAAAAGTTTATCCGCCACGTAATCAAGATTCTGAAGAAGATTAGGTAAGTTAGTATTTTTAATTATTTGAGGATATTATTTTTATGCATTGTTCTAAATGTAAGAGTAAATAAATTAATATGGTTTATTGGAAAATTGTTATTAGCAATGATTTAGTTTAAAGTAATTAGATTGTAAGCTAATTTTTATTAATTTAAAGTATGTGCTTATTTATTTTAAGTAGTGTTTTTAATTTAATTATATTTTATTAATGATTGTGATTTGTGAGTTATATGTTTGTAGTATTTTGGAATACGTTTGAGTAGAAGTAATGTGCATGGAAAAAATTTAAATATTTGACACTAAGTGTTTGCAACCATTTTTAATGTTTGCGTTATAAATTCGTTGGTGACGTTTATAATAGATAATTTAGAGGTAAAAGTTTTGGATATTTTATTTATTTTATATGTGGAAATGTTCACCTTGAAAGGGTATATACTTTTTCGCGATCAGTAATTTCAGTATGTCCTTTTACCGAATTTAAAGATTCACAATTTTCCTGCATTTTCGTGCAAATTTTTGTATTTATGAGAAAATAGCAGTGTAGATGGATTAAAGTCAAGAGTGTGCGCAATGCCATTTTTGTGCTATTCTGGATGTTTTTTTTAAGTAAAAATAGTCAACGTGTACATGGTTACTGTGTTAGTGCGATTCTGAAAAACGTGGCAAGAAGTTTGCGATTCTGAACTTTTTCCCAATCTTGCAGTTAATAGTTTGTCATGATTAAGCAGTTTTGTTCCAGAAAATTTCTAGCATAAGTGCAATTCGGCTAGCAGATTCTTGGAAAAGTGTTGAGTAAATAAAAGAAAAGAAAAATGTCTTTACTTTTCGGCGAAGACAAAATGGCGGCGAAAAAAAAAGAGGGTTGCTGTAGCAGAGTTGGTCGCCAAATTTTCGCCAAAAAATCGCCAAGTTACCATAATCCAAAGATTAACCATGATTTTTTTTAAAATTTAAAAATATTATTAACTTATAACATTTCAGGAAATTAAGTTTTCTAATGCTGAAAATAAAATAATTTAAGATTAATTTTATTATTTCATTATACAGTACTCATCTTTATAATAATTAATAATTTTATTAATTAACTCATATACAATATTTTTACTGCATATTTTCCTTTATTTGATGTCAATAGCCTTGAAAAGCAGAAGACCATTACTCAAATCAATACCTGCTATCATCAACAGTTATCTCCTCCAAGCTGATCATCTTCACAGAAAATTAAAATCATATGGAACTAACTATACTTATTTTGGTGAGGAATCATAATATTCAGGTATCTCTTTCACAACATGGCCTTTTACAACATGTTTTTGTACTTACATGATAGGAAAATTGAAGAAACCCTCACTTAGTGCAGCAACACAGTTTCATTCTAATACATTACTAAATATGCATAAACCCTCTTATAACACTTTATGGTACATCTTTATCACAGCGGCTCCTAAGATTGAATCACAAATCAACCAAGATATCTCGCTACATGTTCTTATACTTCACATGTTAAATCCTGGTTTGATTAGTGATTAAATTTTTAGGGCCACAATAAAAAGTACCCACTTTATTTACATACATATTTCAATAACACAATTTTTATTCTAAACATCTGCAAAATTAAGTTATGTACTATACGATCATGTATACTACACAATAACATCCTATTTAGTTCTATACACAAAAATAAAATAAATTCTAGGAATACTTACATTTTGTCACATCAAAATTCTTTTTGAATTGAGTCATGCCCATCATTTACACAGTATATATCTTGTGCTCCAAGCAGGACTAAAATTAATCCACAGTCGACTGGAGCTAATAACTGCTGTGTCGAAAATACCGACTAATTTGTCAATCGAAATTTTTTCGTTTTCAATAACCTCTGTGCCACTTTCTTCACTATCAGAAGCGAATTATAATGAGGAGGAATTTCATTTAAATCATATCAAAGACGGAGTACATCGAGATGAAATACTACATTTAGTAAGAAATTAAAAGGCAAATAAAATAAAAACATCTGTCCTGAAGATAAGGATAGCGCTGACAAATCAACTTCCAATCCATTGCGCGTGGTGTCCCCCTCTCCCCCCGGCACATGCGTCAATGCAACGCATGTGCAGAAAGTTTGTAGCTTTGAGGTTCGGATTATAGGTTTCCGAATAACGGCTTTTGACTGTATTTTCTTCCAGAAAATACGCTGATGAATTAATTTTAATACTTTAAATACAGAAATTAATGCCATTGTATTTATATATCTAATTATAGTAGTTAGAATATACTACAGTCAAAAGTCGTTAATCCGGACTCGTCAGGACTTCGGCGATTCCGGATTATCGATTTTTCCGGATTATAGATCATCAGTTTAAATCTCGTAAGATGGCATGCAGAAATTCTAAAATTAAAAAATGATGAAACCGTAACTTATGAATAAAGAAAATTATGATCTAAAGGGTATCAAAATTTGCAAAAAGAAAAAGCTTAATATTTATTTGTTTACTTTATTAAACATTTCCTTCAATGTAAGTTGCTTCGTTTCTTGTGATAATACTTTCTCTTTAATTCTATTAAACAGATATAATTTCTTGTTCAGTTACAAAGTTCCGCCGTTCAAGTCCTATAATTGCTGTGTCAAGAACACCGACTAATTTGTCAATCGAAATTTTTTTGTTTTCAATAACCTCTGTCACTTTTCTTCGCTATCGGAAGCGAATTATAATGACGAGGAACTTGTTTTAAATCATATCAAAGACGGAGCATATCGAGATGAAATACTACATTTGGTAAGGAATTTATAAGCCAAATAAAATAAAACATCTGCGCTGAAATAAGGATAGTGCTGACAATCAACTTCCAATCATTACGGCCCCCCGCCGCCGAGCAGCGTGAAATTGATAAACCAGATTCGGATTTCAAAACACACTTTCGCTTTAGATCCTTTACATATTAAACAAATATAATCGGAAATTCTATTTGATATATCGAAAGTTTAAGCTTACATTTATAAAATTGCTCTTAATCGCAAAAATAATAAGCCATGCAATTCGAAATTAGGAACAACGCAATCATCAACATACTGAATAGAATAATTAGATAATTTTAGCTTATACGTCCATTACATAGAATGCGCACGCGAAAACGTATTCTGACTTGCGCACACCATATGCGCAGTCGTAAAAGGTCTTACGCGCAGCGTGAACGCCTCTGCGCATGTGTCCACGCGGCGCATGCGCAGAAAGTTTTTAGTTTTTATGTCCGGATTATAGATCATTCCGAATTATGGGTGTCTGAATTAACGACTTTTGACTGTATAAGAATTTATCTGGTGTAAACAATCTGATAATATAACTGAATAAATAAAACAATTTCTGGATAAAGAATGGGAATAAGATTATGAGCTAAAAATAGCACTGATCATGAAATATACAATTTACAAGTAAAATTAAAAAATATAATAGAATGATGGGAAAAATATAAAAAGGCAGCGAATAAAGACTTACCAATATTTAAAATCTTTAACACAAGGAAAAAGTTGTTTTCATAGTCTAAATTTTGACATGATCCTTTAGTGCAATGATATTTAATATATGGAAAGCATCCAGTTCTTAAAATATGATAATTTGCCTGGCCGACTTGCCAATTAAAATAGGATAGACTAAACTGATCATTAACAATGCTGCTATATTTGATAAAATATGAAGTCCATGGTGGATATTTTCTTTGTTTGATGTGGCATGTTAATACTTCAGATGCTGATGGCTTGCTTAGTAAAAGTCCAGGCTGTAAATGTAGATGAATATGTGTTAAAGGCCCATAAATCACCTTGCCATTCATCTTCCTGAAATAAAATCCGTTGTAAAAGACAACACATTGTACACAATAGAAATGAAAAGATAAGTAAAAAACTAAGGAACATCTAATGAATTTAAAGGCAGATATTTTTAAATAAACCAATTATATCGAAGTTGTTTATGATATTAGAATAAAACTTGGTTCCTTATATGCCTTTTAAAACAAACCCTCATGCGAAAATTCCTTCCAGAACCAAAGTTATGGTTGAAAAACTGTTCTAAGCCTTTACTGTTCAAAGAACCAAATGGTTTTCTTTACATTTGAATTTTAGCAAATTCCTCATATGAAATCCTCTGAATCACACACAATGCTTCTGTATACAAATCCATAGTTATATTTACACTATTCAAATTATTTCAACATCTATAGGTAAAAGAGCAAATATATATCAAGGATAACGAAATAAATATACCCATTTCACGATCAGAAACTATTTTGTTTAAAAAAGACATTGAGCTTAAAAATGTGTTACATTTTTGACATATTTTCACATCTTTAAAGATAGCTTAAAAGGGTAAAGTGCAGAATCGACCATTTATTTTTACAAGAGTAAGAAGAATTGTATTTTTGTCAGTTTTCTTCAACTTTTTAAGTGAAAATAGGTCGATGTGTACATGCATAAAGTCGAGGAAGTGCGTAATGCCATTTTTGTGCAATTCTGGGATGTTTTCTCAAGTGAAAATAGGCCGACGTGTACATGGATACCGAGTATGTGCAATTCTTAAAAACGTGGCAAGCAGTGGGTGATTCTGCACTTTCCCTCCTAACCCCTTAAAACGAGGCATAATCTCTAGAAAAAGTCGGCAATTCAGAAACATTTAAGCAAACCCTGAATATTTAGATAATCTTAAACACTTATTTTCAGACTATGGATAGCGATAATTTAAAAATTTTGGGGTAAATGTTTACAATTGGGTGCTCCTTGTTTTAGGTGATTTTTTTTATGCCAAGATCGGCATCAGGAAGGCCCAATTTCAAGACGGCCGCTGCACAAAACCAAAACAAGAAGTCAAGGAATTGCAGAAATTCTGTGTCCATGTACACATCGATCTGTTTTCACTTAAAAAAAAAAATCCCAGAATTGCACAAACTAGGCATTGCGCACTGTCTTAAATTTGCCCATGTACACATCAATCTATTTTAATTTAAAAAAAACCAGGAAGCTAAAACAAAGTTAAAACTATCATGGTAACCAGAAATAAGGTTTTATCGGCAAAATTAAAAAAAAAAAAAAAAATGTCGCTAATCGAAGGGGCACCCAATTCTACACTAAAGCGATTTGGGTATGGGAACATTAGAAAAGAGGAATTTCTAAGACTAGAAAAATCTGCAAGAAAACATCAAAAAAAAAGGGGGTTTTCATCCGCAGAGAACCCATTAGCGCCATTGCATTTTTACTCGCCAAGCTTGCGGTTCATCGAGGATGAGCCAAGCCGTAAACGTGATTTTTAGTGCATGTAAATTCAAGTTAGCAGACAAAACAATATGTTAAACACATGGTAGTAAAAATTCACATATAATAAGCATGTAGATGTAAAACTAACCGGTTCAACATGATATATGAAAATAAATTTGTATTAAATTCAAGTTAGCACAGAAAAGAATATATTATTAAGCATAAGACATATAAGCATTTATAACGGAAATAAAATTCATTAAAAAATATAAATTAGTATTAATATACTGAAATTAACCGGTTAAACGTGATATACGAAAAAAATTGGTCTTAAATTCCAGTTAACCGAAAACATATATTCCTTACACAGCAGTGGTTTGCTAATTTTGATACCATGGTGATTCATCAAATATTCTGTCATCTTAGATAATCAATAATTTTTACTTCAATTTAATCATCTATTTATGTCACACCTGCCACCCTCTGAAATTATTGTTAGAAAGCATTAACAATATATTATCTTGTTAAAATTTACGCCATAAGAATTGATTTATTCTCATAAATTTAGATGACAATAACCAATAATAAAATAAAAGCATTATTAATTATTTAAAATGCACATGCACATTTTAGCGGTCTACGAAACAAATTATTTTAGAGGTTGGAAACTTCATGGTTCTTAAAGCTGTTAATAATTAAGAACCAACGTGAATAGCCGTGTTACAAATTAACCTTCACCCCTCCCGCCGTATTTTCTTCCTTTCATCCCGAACCGAGAACCGGCATCTATCTACGAAATATTTCTATCTATTCGTTGTTAAAAAATTCATCAAAAATAATAATAAATAAGAGAAGAATAATATACTAAATGAGTTTTCATCCGCAGAGAACCCGTTGGCGCTTCGGGAAAGAACCGTTGGCGTTGTTTCATTCTTACTCGCCAAGCTCGCGTTCATCGACGATAATCCGAGCCGTAAACCGTGAATTTTGTAAACGGATTTTTAGTGCATGTAAATTCAAGTTAGCAGTAAACAGTTATTAAGCATATGGTTAAAAATTCACATATAATATGCATGTAGATGTAAACTAAACGGTTAAACTGATATACGAAAATAATTTGTATAAATTCAGTTAGCACAGAAGGAATATATTATTAGCATATGACAATATAACATTTATAACGAAATAAAATTCATTTAAAAAATATAAATTAGTATAATTACTGAAAAACCGGTTAAACGTGATATACGAAAAAAAAAAATTGTCTTAAATTCCAGTTAACACAGAAAACATATGTTCCTTACACCACCAGTGGTTTGCAATTTTGATGACCATGGTGATGCATCAAAGTATTCTGTCATCTAGATAATCCAATAATATTTTTTTTATTTCAATTTAATCATCTATTATGTCACACCCTGCCATCCTCTGAAAGGTTATTGTTAGAAAAAGCATTAAGATATATTTCTTGTTAAAATTTACTTATAAAAATTGATTTATTCTCATTAATTTAAAGATGACAATAACCAATAATAAAATAAAAAAGCATTACTTAATTATTTAAAATGCACATGCACATTTTTGCGGTCTACGAAATCACAATAATTTTAGACTTTGGAACACATTGTGAACAGCCGTGTTACAATTAGCATTCATCCCGAACCGAGAACCGGCATCTATCTACGAAAAGATTCTATCTATTCGTTGTTAAAAATTCAGAAAAAATAATAAAATAAGAGAAGAATAATATAAATCTGCAAATGCGAACAAATGGTTGCAAACTTCCAACAAGCGAATAGGATGAATCCGATGGGTTACCAAGTTTGAACTATTATCGCCAAAGTTGGCGATGTTTACAACAACCGGGTTCTCTGCGGAAGTGCTTCCTACTAAATCTTTAAATGCGAACAACGACAGTGATAATTAAAAAAAATGAACGCAAGAGGAATGATGGCAAACTTCGAACAAGCGAATAGGTTAAATCCGATGGGTTACCAGGTTTAAACTATTATCGCCAAAGTTGGCGATGTTTATATTTACCGGGTTCTCTGCGGAAGTGCTTCCAAAAAAAAAAAAAAAATATTTACTAACAATGTAATAACACAGTTCCAAACAAATCCTTACTGGAATATCTTTCATGTTTACTTAGCAGACAACGAAGCTTCTTAACGTTGCCAATCGCAAATGAGAAAATGTTCCTTTTATTCTGCATCTCGTTTATAGTAATAGAAATTCAGAATTTATGCAAGTTATTTTTCATTGCAGTAATGATCATATTTTGTTACGATACACTCAAATATTTCAGATATAGTAATCTACTTTTCTATTTTAATTTAACACTTATTCACCACCTTAACAACGAATGGAAAAAGCTGAAAAAATTATAAACAAGAATAGGCGAAGAATATTTAAAGACTGAAAATAAAATAATAGCTTATTTAATAGTCTTGGCAGCTCGCAAAATAAAATAAAAATATGTTTTCTGAGGAAGGGGAGAGGTTAATGTTTTCAGAGTGGCAACATGTGTTCCCGCTTTGGGAGGTTTGCAGATATATGCGACGACAAACGCTGAGAGTTTACGGAAGTTAGCGGGTCTCACGTGACCGATGGCAACACTAAGAGGTTACCGTAATTTGCGCCAAAATTGAAAAATGAAGCCAAATGTAATTTTTCGAAGTAAGCAATACACGTTTTCGCCATTTTGCTTGCACGTGCTGCTGTGGGGGAAGCAAGGTACGTAGTATTAGCGCTGATATTTTGTGTTTTAATTATCTTATTTTAGTTATGTGTTGTCTAAGCAATCTGAAAAGATGAAAATACTCATAATCGGGGATTCTATGATTAAATATTTACAAGAATATTTGTCTGCGAATTTACCTGATTACGAAGTTGATTTTCGTTGCTTTCCAGGAGCTAGGATTGAAAGGTTGACACGTTGAGATTGCCTTTATGAACAACCATTTTCATTTAGTTTTTTTATTTGGTCCACGTTGGTACCAATAATTCAAATGACGATTTAGATGAAATTCATCGTAAATATGGTTGTCTATATAAGGGAATTGAACGATTAAACCCGAAGGTCATTCTGTTTTCAGGTGTTCTCCCACGATGCCCGGATTTATATCGAGATTGTAACACGTATCACCTACAAGAACTTAATAGGAAGATACTAAACATAAATTCAAGATTTCTCGCAACATACGAAGGTAAAGATGGGTTTTTCTTTTGCAGCTCTTTTGACTATTCTTGGAGTACTTGTTTATCCAGAGACGGTTTACACCTAAATCGGAGAGGTAATCAGCAGCTGGGGAAAATTTTTGTAAAAGATATCAGGATAAGTTTGACTGTTGCAGAGGTAAGTGCACCCATTTTGTTCTACATCCCTTAGCAGTTTCCCAGCATTAACCAGTATTCCTTCTGTTCTGAGTACTCATTTGGGTAGTAATCTTGGTGCTTCTGTTTCCAAACCACTCTTTTCAGATGTTGTGAAACGTTCTTTAGTTTCCAGTGTTCGGGTTTGTAATTCTAGAGATTTTTTGTGCCATGTTTCTTCTTCTAAACCGCTTTATTCAGATGTTTTAAAGCATGATTGCTAGCTCTGTTTTGAATACTAATCCCAGTATTCCGAGTTTATCAGATTTTCCACTTCTTGAATATTCACTTGGCACTAGTGTAAACTTTTGGATCCACCTCCTAAGCCACTTTACTCAGATGTTTTAAAACATGGATTTTCTAGTATTATCATCTCAACCTGCAGGCTCTTTGGATTCCAATTCATCATCATCTCATCTTGGTATCAATTTCAATTCTTGTACTTCCATGTTGAATTTTCCAGTTTTTAAGGTTTCATTTGTTTGCTCTGATTCAGATTTGCAGAAGGCTACTATATCTGTATCTAAATTTTCTTTTATGTCGTTAGTCACTTTCTCAGCCTACTGGTTTTTGAGGCTCTGTTTCATCTACTCAGCTTGTCACCAATTCCAATACTTGCCCATCAGTTGTTGGTTCTTGTGCAAATTTTAATTCTTACCATCCATATTTTCATTTTAACAAGTTTTCTATTCTTAAAAATTATTCAGAATGCTCTAACATTAAGTTTGGGGGTGCAAATGATTCTAATCAGGGTGAAAGTAATGTACAGAAATCTGAAAATGGGTATGTTGAAGAAAACTGCAAAGTTATTACCTCTGTTAACCCAGATATAAAGACTATAATTTGTCCATGTTGTAAGAAAGATTTCTCTTGTAAAGAAACTTTATCAAGACACAAACGTAACAGTAAAATTTTAAATAAGGATAATTTATGTACTACCATAAAGAATGATGAAATAGAAAAAAAAATATCCAAGAACGTGCGAGGTATGCATGAAGTCATATGCTTCAAGACAGTCATTTTTTAATCATAAAAAAAAGGTGTAAAATCTGTGTCTTCTGAAATTGATTCAAAATCATATATTTGTGACAACTGTGAAATAGACTGTAAAACCCGCAGTAACCTTTTTCATCATAAGAAGTTTTGCTGTTCTAAAAATAATTTAAATATTCGTAAACCGTGTGTGATTTTTCCTGATTGCAAGGCATCCTTCCAGTTTATTAGTGATCATAATAAACATTTGGCTGAATTTCACAATTCTGAGATGGATGTGAAGGAGCTTACATTTTCATCAATGGTGGAGTTTCAGCTGTGGTTAGAATGTCATTCTAAGGAAACATTCAGTTCTTTTAAGAAGTGTTTCTGGGAGTAAACATAAAGTTAATAAAGCATACCATTATTATTGTTTGTCACTTCACTGTAACACACAAAAAAAAAAAAAAAAAAACCAGTGCCAATTTCAAGTAGAAAAAATCTTAAAGGTTTCTTTACCATTAGGCTTCAGATGTCCATCCAGAATTTTAGTTTTCTGAGGAAACAAGATATCTTGCGACAGCTATTTTTTATTCAGGTCACAATCATTAGCTGTCGTTTGAAAATACCAAATTTCAACAGCTTAGTCAGAATTGTCGTGATCAAATCAAAACTTATGCTCAGTTAGGTGTTTCGACCGATCAAATTCAAGAATTTATCTGAGATGGAAGTGGATCACGTGATAATAGAGAGAGCGGCTCATTTCGGATACCCGGCTCTTGGCTGAATTTGGCGAGTTTTTGGCCGCCATCTTGGATTTCAGAAATGCGCCAAAAGCGCATTTCGATTCAAGATGCGGCAATATTTTTCCCTATCCAGGAATGGACAGAAACAATTCTGACTGCAAAAGGAAAAACTTCCTACTTGTTCATGTTTACATGATGATGCCTGAATTCCCTATTTCTTCAATGTTGTACAACATATATGTTATATTACTAGCTGATATGATAACTTACTAATTGTAATTCAGACTAAGTAATAGAACAAAAATTTTAATTAACGTGTACTTAACGAGTGAAAGTTTTGCATGAAACGCTGTAGGGCGAAGAAGTACTTACGCTCAAATGTAAACAATCGATTTAAAAGAAAGCTTCCAACCAAAATTTGACTGCATTGTTTCGGCATTATATTATTGTGCATGTTAAATTAATAATGAATTTATATTAAATTAATTAGTTATGCAGGTAATGTATGATAGTTAAACATGATATATAGGATGAGAAATGAAAATTAGAACATTTATTAGGTATTGTATATAATGCTAAGTTCTTTTTAAGAATTTATTTTTCATATTAGCACTCATTTTTTTTTTTATTTAATTAATCAATTTGAAATATTTTCTATTTTCCCTGTGTTAGAATTTCAACTTTTTTTAAGTAATCAATTAAACATATTTAAAAAAAACAACTATAATTTCTATCTTAACTTTGTTTCAATAGTAAGAATTTCACCTTTTTAATTAATAAATTTAAAAAAATTTCTTAACTTATGTTTCAATATGCTGAATTCATATTTTTAAATTTAAATGTACCAATATTGCAAAAATACTTACCCCAGATGACGTTTTGTACATTCTTTGTCCTTCTTAAAGTATTTATATTTATAAAAAATTTCACTTTTTTCACAAGAAAATTTTATCCGGTTCTCACAGTTTTCAAGAAAAAACATCTTTTCAACAAAAAATTTTATCTAGTTTCTCTTTTTTTTTGCAAGAAAATGTACCAGTTTTCACAGTCAACAAGTTCAAGAAACTGTGTATATGATAACCAGGGCTAGAAAAGGGGCATATTCCGTGGGCACATAAACCAAGGAAGGCCAAATGATGTACGAATTTTTAGAGTTGAATGTTTTCCATTTTTGCCAGTAGTCGGGAGGGGGCACAAATCTTCAGTTTTCCCTGGGCGCTGAAAACATAACTAGACTCTGCTGATAACTTATAAAATTTCATTTTTTCACAAGAAAAATGTATTAGATTTCCTTGTTAAAATCCAATACTTCGTTTCACTGAACTCCACTCTTAAGATCGAGCCTGTTCATCAGATCTGAAAAGAACAATTTTTACAAGCATTTTGAAATTAGAAATGATTCCATTTCCATCACTTAAGACTTACACGTACTTAAAAAAAGAAAAATCTTTCTTCTTTTTTGACCTATTCATTTAATTGAAGCATACCAAATTTTTAAATTAGAGTTTTTATAATTATATTTAATCATTATTTATAAAAAATATTTATGCGGGTATTATCATTAATTTCATTTAAAATAGGCACTATTTTCACATACATGACGTACATGCCGGTTAAAGTGATTTAATTAAA